CTGAATTTTACTCCGGTGTAACTAAAGTCTGATTTAAGGGTTGTTTATATTTCACATCATTAATCCAAATCTGTAAAGTAACTAAAATAAATGTAGTGGAGTAAAAATACCAGGTTAACCTTAAAGAAAGCCCTCAGGATTATAAAAGACCCCCATCACCCCACAAACTGTTCTGTCTGCTGCCGTCTGGCAGGCGGTACCGCAGCATCCGGACTAAAACCACCAGACTCAGGGACAGTTTCATCCCACAGGCCATAAGACTATTAAACACCTGAACTTAGAAACAACATCCATAACATTCATCTGGCTGCTACTTAGAAATTATTTATCTAATATATCATATTCCAATCACTTGTATATAGACTCTTATTGCACTATTTCACTTTTTACTATTTTACTATTTTTCTTTTTGTATTTACTTGCACTATTTGTTCTGTGTAGCCTATCTGTTTTATTGTGTTGCACTGTTGGAGGAGCCTGTGACCTAAGGGGGGGGTAGGACACGTTCTAAGCACATGGTGTAGTCCTATAGCTGAGGATTCTGGGTAGTGTAGTGCCTTCTGCCATCCACACACTACGAACAAATATTTGTTTCTCCGAATCGAAAGGGGAAAATACAAAAGCATTGCACACAATTTAAACCAATCAATGTTGTGTAATTAACAAGGATAATCTGGTGTTTTTGAGTTGATGAGTAGTGCAGATATCACTGTAAATAAAATCAATGGACAGTAAGGAGAATACTTACTTCCGGGTGTAAAATGCTCTGTTATCCAATGGGAATGGACGCTCAGCTCTTTGGGTCCGTAATACAATAAAGGGGACTTAATCAAATAGGAATATAATTATCTTTTAAATAACGTTAACTAAAGGGAACAATCTCTTTGACACAGCTGAAGCTCTGGCCTTCCTTAAAAACGAACTAATTTAATAAAAATCACAGTTGTATTACACACAATGCATTGTTTTTTGAGAACAAACATTGGTGAATAATGCACCATAATACATTCTGACGAAAAATAAAAATGATTATGAATACAAATAAAATAAAAGAAGCCTCCTGTGAGTTACTACAAGCTATAAAGTAGATTTTAAAAACGTTTTATAGAATAAAAGCTCACTGCTGGACGTTGTAGAAATGCGTGTGTGCACCACGACAAAGGAGCCTCATTCACTTTACATTGGGGTTGTTTGCGTGGTGCAGACACGTAAATGTAGCAAAGTTCGTGACTCCACCACGCAATGTGATGTTAAGGAGTCGTGGTGGAGTCACGCATTCTGGTGAGACCAGGTTTGTATCTGCATAGTTTCGCGTGCGTATAGCCCTATTATTTACACGAGGCCGATAGAAACTGACCCCACAAACGATAACGGGTCCCAAGGTGGATAGATTTGCAAACGAAACGCTCTGGGGGGTCAACCGAGTCCGTGTAATCACCTCTATACGAATATTTCCTGAAAAAATAGCGATCGCCCCACCTCTCCGCACCTCTCCTGCTCACTGCTGTAGCAACTATCAAAAATAGCTGTGTTAATTAAACGCACAAGGGGTTCTTGAATGAAATAATATTATAAAAGGCAAACCAGAATTGTTAACGCCCAATATACTCCTTAAACAAAATAAACAGAGTCAGATTTCATGCATTGATCCATTATATTGACAAAGGAGCGATCTCACCCGGTGTTTGTAGAGAATATCTCTCTTTCTGAGCCGTCCTCTCCACGGAGACGTGCTTCTTGGTCGGTCGATGCAATATCCACAGATTCGGTTTCTTTCAGTTAACTTCCCCGTTGCATTTATCCATATGCTGAGGAAATGACTATATCCCGCTGAATACCAGCAATCGCCACACACACTTCCTCCTGTCAGTAGCTACTGCTAGTGCTACTGCTACTGACCATGCTACAGATATTAGTGCAAAATCTACAGCTCCTCTACCACAACCATCAGCAACAAGTGGACATGGAGAATTACATGAACTACATGTTGCTAAATACACCGCGGGGCGTAAACAGAAGGGTAGCCATGGCAACATTGCTGCGGGGCTGCTCGGGCTGCTCTTCTTCGCTGCTTTTGGTGTATTTTGGCGGAAGTTACAGCGCCACTTACAGTCCCGGCATATGTACTACAGCGTTTCCAGCGGCCTCGTTTGAACAGACACGTTAAATGAAACGAATGCACGTGAACGGAAGACTTTTTTGAATACGCATACTGTGCATAAACGCAAACGTTCCCGTGTGAGTGGGGCCTGAGTATATTCTTAGTAATGACCTGAATTCAGTTTGCTCTTGTTGCTACAGTCAATATTTCCAGAAACCAAAGAGAATATTAAAGCACTCGTAACGTATTAGTGTAGTTGCCACCAGTGTGTACCCGGAAATGTTGAGTACCCCAAAGTTTTATGATAGAAATGTAGAGTAGGGTCCCCAACACATAGAAACTGCCTGATGCTAACCTGCATATGTTGGGCAATTTGTGCAATTAGCTTAAAGGTAGGGTAGGTAATTCACTTCAGAAACACTTTTTGTTATATTCCATGGAATGCTCTTAACATCCCGATAGCAATGAATACATTGAATGCTTTGACACTAAATATATACAAATATTTCATCTGTGGAAGCCGTGGCGCTGTAAAAAGCACGACCAATTATCTGTTGCGGGCCGGGCGAGATAATACCTGCCTGTCAGCCTTCCATCTCGTGCACAAACTTATCTTGTGCCCTCATTGGTCATGTGTGCGTTCGTGTGTGTTGGAGGAGGGGCTCTGTAAGGAAGTATAAAGGAAGGGGCAGATTTTTTTCAGTTGTGTACTTTCAAATTCTAGCTTACTCGAGTTGGTTTCTCCGTTCTTACCTACCCTACCTTTAAGTTATATTGATTAGCATTAATTACACTATGTAGACAATAGTTTAAAAATGGCTTGGCCGATTTGAAAATGTTTTGTGTGGTTTTTGAGGTTATTGAGGAAGATTGAATCAATTTCTACAATCAAAAATAACAATTTTGTTAGGATAAGCCATTTTTCAACTATTGTCTGCATAGGCTAATTAATGCTAATTAACACCATTTATGCTAATTGTGCAAATTGCCCAGGTTTAATCTGGCAGTCTCTATGTGCTGAGGACCTGTACTATACATTTATATCATAACAACTTTGGGCTACTCACAATAGGACTCTATGAGCTGGCAAACAGACTTTATGGTAACATATCACATACAATTGCCAACAAAATGTATCGCTTCTCCTTCTCCTAATTACCAGCATGTTGGAGTGCTGTAAAACTGTCCCAGTCTGCAGAATGACAGGGATGAGTCCTGCTAACCTTACTGGCTAACAAGACTCCAATAGCAAAAATGTCCCCTTTATGTTTTAATCTCTGTGCCTCTTACAATGACCTGAATATAAAATATCCATCAGTCTGCCGGCTGTCTCTCTTTTGTTTTCCTCTCTTGCCTGGATCCTTCCCACCATTACATCAGCATCTTATGTAAGACTGGATCAGGCATGTGCGGGGACACCAGGAGAGCATCGGTGGATCGTAAGCAGCAGGAACACTAAGTGAAACTGTCACCAGCTCTGTTTTACCCACAAGCCCCTGCACTCTCCCAGACGGGCCACCAATTAGGGTTAGACGAGCAAGCGGAAATATTGAAATAAATAAACTAAAAGATCATTTGTGGCCTGGGGCGTGCGTCGCTTGCATAGTGAAAGATTAATGCTGCCCCTCTGAAAACTAAAGGCTCTGAAGGGACAGAGGAAGTGGCTTTTTTCTCTTCTGAAGCTCTGGTAAAATAAAAAAGGCCCTGAGACGCCTCCAGGCCAGAGGAGCAGCAAGGAGAGTGGAAGAAACAGAGACAGAGAGAGAGGACGAACATATTGCTTTGACAGTGGCACATGCCTTAACTCGTATACAGCATGCTCTAAATCACACAACTGTGTGTGTACCTGTGAAGCCTTCCACTCACTGAAACCCCTAACTTCCAACCCTGAACCTAAGCCATGAGGATGTAGCCCACAGGATATTCTAAAACAAAAGACAGCATTTAAAAATGGTTTCGTTTTTGAATATAACAGCACAATTGATGGTCACTAATTTCTTGAAATTATTTATACTTTTCAGTTATTTTTAGTTACAGCGGGCTTCTATCAATTATAACCACACTTCCTGCTAATGTTTCACATAAAGAGCCTCCATGGAAAGGGGATAATGCACTTTGTGTCAGGAAGGTTTCTAATGCGATACTGGAAGAGTAACGTTTTATTCACGTTAGTTTACCACATTTTGTCATAAAAACGACCTGGTAGAAACACCTGCCTTCTATTCAAATGAGCAGCAGCACAGATATGACTCTGTTGTACTGATTGAATTAGAAATGTCCCATGAATATACTCGTAAATATAAAGCACATGAACAACAATGACATTGTTCTGGTATCTTCATTTGGTTATCATAATACAATGACTGGCACTGCATTTGGGGTCAAGAATCAGATCACTATCTCTTAGCTGTGTTTCATGTTTGTACAACACAGTTTTGACAAAGTGCTCCTATGTCAGTACACTCTTCTGGAGTTATCTTTGGTATGTGCGTTTCTGGAGTCTGTGTGTTTCTTATAGTGAAGTCTTGCACCTACACACCTCACCACCAGATTTCCAAGATGTAACACAGCGTGGCCTGGTAGCTCACACTACAGAAAAAGAGCTTGGAGCTCCAAAAAGCTTCCCATTATAAATACTATGATTAGTGTGATCCTGAACACAGTCATTCAGCTGCTGGGTGTGTGAGTATTGCTAACAGATTTCTCTCGTGGTAAAAAAATGAAAATGGAATAATTTTTATTCCAGATACTGAAAGTTTCTAGATTTCCAAATGTCTCATGTCCTGCTGTATAAACTGGGGCTGACCACACTGTGCACATTGGAAAAACTCAGACACACACTCAGAAACACACTCAGACACACATTCACACACACACTCCGACACACTCCGACACACACCTGAGTAGGCCCAGTAGGTCTCCTCGGTGGCTCTCCGGCGTCGTACCGCTCCGGCCGCGGCCCTGTGAAGGCCTTGGATCGGGGCTTGGGACTCGGCTTGGCTTCCTGTCAGCGCTGTGGGGGGGGGGGGGGGGGGGGGGGGGGGGGGAGAAGTGCAGACAGAAGGGTTAGCATCTACAGGGTTAGCATTCTGACGCCCTGCCTGGACTCCTACTGCTGAGGATGACAGCCGACTGTGTCCTCAGCTGCCTTACCACGCAATGTGCCTCACAACAACATTCACAGTGGAAACAAAGGTCAACAACAGAGGAAGGCCGAGCAGCAATACAACTGTCTGATATAAGACCGAGCATTCTGCATTTAAGGACAACATCAGGCCTCAGCACCAGTTCCTGCAAAACAGCATCACTAGTGAGAGTCCTGGAGTATTAACTGAGGTCATCAGTCAAAAGATGATGCATTATCTGAAGCTTTCATGATGTCTTTGAATTATGTTTGCGAGCATTCACTTCATTCACATAAAGGTATTTTGATTCTGATAAAGGGGTTCTTTTGCTATAACAGATCTATTATTTTGGATTCCTCTACTTTTTGATACATTTTTTGCATGTTTTTATTTATTCATTTTAAGAATGGCTTTTTTCCATTTTCGCAAATCAACCCTTGATGTGAAATGTAAGAGGATATATTTCAATTTTTTTAACTTACAGGAAGACTCAAAACAATCTGCCCAGTCTGAAGCGAGGGACTCTTGGTCATTTAGGAAAACCTGCCTGAGCCCCCTACTGTCATCACAGTTTAAAACAGCATTGCTTTGAGCACAACATATGAGTGTGTGTGTGTGTGTGTGTGTGTGTGTGTGTGTGTGTGTGTGTGTGTGTGTGTGTGTGTGTGTGTGTGTGTGTGTGTGTGTGTGTGTGTGTGTGTGTGTGTGTGTGTGTGTGTGTGATATCTGATATCAGCCCGTGTAACCGATGTATAAATTCACTTGTTTATATTTCACTAAAATCATTTTTGTCCATACTTTATTTGTAAAACTTGTCACTGTCACTTTATTTTTTAGATGCTTTTATTTTGAAGAGTACGTTTTATTTTGGTACTCTTGGCACAGGCACATTTCTGCAGACTCGCGTTACTTTCTTCAGTTAGCTTCAGGCCTCACTGAGAAGTAAGTGGAACGAGTGGTGTCATAAATGTTGTATTTAATATGTTAATAGATTGTTTAATGTTACACTTCACATAAGCCAAACTTGTTTGCAGTTAATGTCTATATTTTGCCGTGTGTAACTGTAGTTTATATAATGTGCAGCTCTTCAAACAGTGTTTGTGAGCTTTCTAAAGTTTAGCTATGCTAACCTAGCATGTGGGTGTCTTCTTCTACTGAAGGTATTTATGGAATGCCATTTAAGCCAAAATTAAATAAATACATAAATAATTAAATAAATACATATATATATAAATATGCCTATGAAATAAATTCTGAAATAAATAAATGAGGCAATAAATATGTATACATGTACATTTAAATACACATTTATTTATTTCATGGGACTTTTATTTCATAATGACACATTTATTTATTTCAAGAGACTTTTATTTCATAATGAGACATTTATTTATTTCAAGAGACTTTTATTTCATAATGACACATTTATTTATTTCAAGAGACTTGTATTTCATAATGACACATTTATTTATTTCAGGGGACTTGTATTTCACAATGACACATTTCCATTTCTTATATGCAAATGAACGGGGCGTGGTTAGCTCACAGATCCAGACCAAAGCAACAGCACCGCAACACTGACTCAATAGTTCTTGTTTCACACTCAGCCTGATTTAGCTCTGGTTCTTCCTGTTTCAGCCGCAGCGGAGCCGGCTCTAAACACCGAACACCGGTTCTTAGCTGACCCCACTTGGCTGCCCGGCAAGAACCAAGAACCACGCTCACGTCGGAAGGGGGCGAGATTAACCTGAGTCATAATAACAGTTTATGGCGAGTACGGAAAATGAAAGTTGTAACAAGCAGTAGCGCTGAGCAAAGTGACTAGAACGCAACCACACACTTATAAACAAACACGCTTTATAAAGTCAGGCAACACTAACCAGGCTTCATGTGATTCTGTTTATTTGTATCTTACTTTGACCATCCGTTCGCTGTCATTGATCATTGTGGAAAGCAGGCAGAAGTTTTGTTTTGTATTATTATAGCAGCTATCGGATGGAATCAATACATGGGCTGCACAGGTTGTCATGTCCGAGTCCGACTATCACGTAGAATCATAATGAAAAGGTAAAATGTGCCTGTAGAAAACGGCTTATGCCACAATAGGATAGCAACAAGTAGTCAAGATAGTCAGTTTAGCTTCGGTTGCTGTTGCATAACTGCGGTCAACTCAGCCGTCTCTCGCGTTCGCTTGGTAAATCAGCAGCTATTCATTTTTGAGTGCGCAATTAATAGCGCCTTTACGGTAATCGCTGTACAAGAGTAAAATAATGCATGTTTTTTTCTGCTTTATTTGCAATACAAGTCATTTGTACCATAAGTTCTTAATAAAACTGACACTGTTTGACTCAGTCCTAGTTTGACTGCTACAATAAAATGAAGTAGGCTACTTTTACTGTGTACTTTTTGGGTAATACTCTCTCAAAGTCCCTGAGAACAAAATCATGCCACTTCTGCTATATTTGATGAGATAAAATGATTTGTATCCATAAGTTCTTAATAAAATTGGTACTGTTGGACTCAGTACTTGTTAGACTACTACCACAAATACAATGAAGTAGCCTACTTTTATTGTGTACTTGTTGAGTAATACTCTGTCAAACTCCCTTCCAGAGTACAATCATGCATGTATTCTGCTATATTTGATGAGGGATAAAATGATTTTTTGCAACAAGTTCTTAGTTAAATTGATACTGTTGGACTCAGTACTACTTGGACTACTCCCACAAGTACAATAAAGTGTTTGAGTAATCCCCTGTCAAACTCCCCTCCTGAGTAGAATAATGCATGTTTTCTGCTATATTTAATAAGCGTTAAAAGCGTTCACAATACTGGGAGGCTGTGGCTCAGTGGTTAGTGTGCTGGACTTCGAATCAGGGGAGGACACTTCACCCCAAATTGCTCCTGTGGGGATTGTCCACAGTACTGAATGTATGTAAGTCGCTTTGGATAAAAGTGTCTAACAAATGACATGTAATGTAATATAATGTACAGATAATGTTAGACAGAGTATTTTAAGAGGATAAGGTAGACAGATGACATCAACACTAGATCCACTAGATCAGTACTCCAGCAGCAGCATTGTTACCCCTTGGAAAGTCTTTAGAGACTATCCTGGATAGCTGTTCACAACCTTCCTTCAGCACAGTGACACACCCCTGTCACTCTTGTTGGCCTCTTATGATGCTGCTAAAGTCCTTCTACTGCACCTTTTTGACTCCAATACAGGCATTTGTATATGTTTGGAGAAATTACACAATAAATGGCCCAGATGTGTACACACCGAAATCTTGTAGTGCAGGAAGAAATACACACGGCTAAGCCTGCAGGTGATATAGGCTTTGTTTTGCAATATTTATTCAAAGGTCACTTCTTATTTAAATAAATACCTGAAATATAGATATTATCTCTTATCAAAGATAGCAGAATACATGAAAGAATGTACTCAGGACAGGAGTTTGACCTAGTATTACTCAAAAAGTACACAGTAAAAGTACTTGATTGTACTTGTGGTAGTAGTCCAAGTAGTACTGAGTCCAACAGTATCAATTTAACTAAGAACTTTTGGCAAAATACCATTTTATCTCTCATCAAAGATAGCTAAAAACATGCATTATTGTACTCTGGAAGGGAGTTTGACAGAGTATTACTCAAAAAGTACACAATAAAAGTAGGCTACTTCATTGTATTTGTGGTAGTAGTCTAACAAGTACTGAGTCCAACAGTACCAATTTTATTAAGAACTTATGGCTACAAATCATTTTATCTCATCAAATATAGCAGAAGTGGCATGATTTTGTTCTCAGGGACTTTGAGAGAGTATTACCCAAAAAGTACACAGTAAAAGTAGCCTACTTCATTTTATTGTAGCAGTCAAACTAGGACTGAGTCAAACAGTGTCAGTTTTATTAAGAACTTATGGTACAAATGACTTGTATTGCAAATAAAGCAGAAAAAAACATGCATTATTTTACTCTTGTACAGCGATTACCGTAAAGGCGCTATTAATTGCGCACTCAAAAATGAATAGCTGCTGATTTACCAAGCGAACGCGAGAGACGGCTGAGTTGACCGCAGTTATGCAACAGCAACCGAAGCTAAACTGACTATCTTGACTACTTGTTGCTATCCTATTGTGGCATAAGCCGTTTTCTACAGGCACATTTTACCTTTTCATTATGATTCTACGTGATAGTCGGACTCGGACATGACAACCTGTGCAGCCCATGTATTGATTCCACCTGATAGCTGATATACAAAACAAAACTTCTGCCTGCTTTCCACAATGATCAATGACAGTGAACGGATGGTCAAAGTAAGATACAAATAAACAGAATCACACGAAGCCTGGTTAGTGTTGCCTGACTTTGTAAAGTGTGTTTTTTTGGTTGCGTTCTCGTCACTTTGCTCAGCGCTACTGCTTGTTACAACTTTCATTTTCCGTACTCGCCATAAACTGTTATTATGGCTCAGGTTAATCTCGCCCCCTTCCGACGTGAGCGTGGTTCTTGGTTCTTGCCGGGCAGCCAAGTGGGGTCAGCTAAGAACCGGTGTTCGGTGTTTAGAGCCGGCTCCGCTGTGGCTGAAACAGGAAGAACCAGAGCTAAATCAGGCTGAGTGTGAAACAAGAGCTATTGAGTCAGTGTTGCGGTGCTGTTGCTTTGGTCTGGATCTGTGAGCTAACCACGCCCCGTTCATTTGCATATAAGAAATGGAAATGTGTCATTATGAAATACAAGTCCCCTGAAATAAATAAATGTGTCATTATGAAATACAAGTCTCTTGAAATAAATAAATGTGTCATTATGAAATACAAGTCTCTTGAAATAAATAAATGTGTCATTATGAAATACAAGTCTCTTGAAATAAATAAATGTGTCATTATGAA